CATTCCCTCTCTGCCTTAATAACTGGCGTGAATAACAAGATCCGTTACCATTGTGTGCCAGTGCTAAAGAGCGCGCGTGTGTGCGAGGGAGAGAGAAACAAAAGGAGGCAGGTAAAGTGGGGGAGTGGCAGCGTGGACCAGGAGAAGGTTTTGTGAGTGCGTGAATTATTAATGACGTTAAGGGTCCTAATTTTAAGAGAAAACTCCTCCGAAGCCCTAAGAGTTTAGCACGGCGCTCATTCTGCTCTCCAGTGTACATGGTGTTTAAATTCAAGATTAAAATTAATTAATATAAAAGTCACAGGGGTCCGTCGGGGAACCTGTGGATGTGGATGGCTACGCGAGTCTCGCGCTGAGGAAACAAAACCCCACTCGCCTAGAAAAATAATGATTTTCGTCCCTAAAATGAGAATGAGATTGCCGCTGTCTGGATGATGGACCTGCTTCATGACCCCCCCCCCCCCCCCCCCCCACCCCCCCCCCCCCCCCCCCCCCAGCTCTCCCACTCGGCTTCCCGTCTTGAGCGCGGCGTGGCGCGGCGCTGCGCTCATATTGGTGGACACATCCTCGTCAGCTGAGGCAGGCGCCCGCAGGCAGGACCGGGGCCCTGCCGGCCAGCAGACTGTCCGCAAGAAATGCCTCCTCGTCCTCGGGTGGCTAACAAAGCCGCCGCAAGGGATAACCTGCTGCTCAGCGCGGGCAGCCGGCTCGGCTCGGCTCGGCTCGGCAAACCAATCCGGCCGGTCAGATCCACGGGCAATGCAGCAGAAGCCAGGCTGAACTCCGTTTCCACGCCTTCGCGGTTTGCCAGGAGGGCACAACTTCCTCGTCAAGGGCACGAATGAGCCCCAAAACAAGTCTACGGGAGCGTCCGTTTTTCTCAGATTCCACCCGTAAATTACGGGAGCTCGGCGCCTGCGAGACTCAGGGTAGGCCGTCCCGCAGCACACGGATGCACTGCAGACAAGATATTGCCTACCTAACAGGCGCTATGAGGGCGTCGCATTCGCGAACCGGAGGTTCGAAACGGTGTTTGACGGAAGTCAGAATGATCCAATAACCCACGAAGCTACCTTAAAATTATTGTATCTGTTTGAATGGGCTACAGCACTGCGAGCGGTGGATCCAGTAGACAGGCGGCTACGGCCTCCAGTCTCTGCTCCAAGAGACACAATAACAATCGCGATCGTCATAGTGATGAGGCGAGAAATAATGGGCGTAATAATAACAACAATAATGGCGACAAGGCCAAGGTGGGGCGGGTTGTGTGACAGACAGGGGTGTGACGAGGACGCGGGGGTGACAGCCCGTGACGGACCGGGTGACGGCCACACGAAGGCGCAAGTTTCGTCTATCCTTAACTCACGTCTCGCTGCTGTTCAACAAACAGACAATGTTATCGTCTTTAACCAGTCCTCGTAGATTGCTTTATAGGGGCGTCCGTCCTTCCGGTCTTCCGGCAACAAGTAGTGCTAAAAGGTGCTTCCCTGCACGCCGCAACCGTCGCAACAGGAGGGCGAGAAGCGGCAGCAGACTGCACCATCCTTACCTTTTGTTCTGATGTCATACGCGTCCGGTGCCCTGCAAAAAAATAAAACAAAAAACGTTAGTACATTAGAGTCCAGCGGGCAGACGCCATATAGATTAAGAGGAACATGCTCTTCCTGCAATGAAGACGACGCCAGCCAGAGAGCATGATGAAGAACGTAAAAAAAAATATAATTAGATTGTAAACAACAACACCACGGCAAACATTTCAACTGCAACTGTCAGGAGCTTGGAGGTGTTGCACACTGTAAAAAGCTTGCGAAGAACTATGTTTTGCATGGCAAAGAATTTTGAAGCGTTGTAAAAAGCTTTGCATTGCGAATTAGTTCTTCGCACCTTACGAAGAAAATTGTTTGTAAAGCTGCAAAGAATTAGTTCGTAACCTTGCCAACTATTTCTTGGCAACTTACGAAGAAAATAGTCTGCAATGCAAACATCCTTACAATACTTTAAAGCTCTTTGCAAGAATTTTGCAGTGCACCGAAAAAGAAAAGGTGCCGTTTCTCATTAGAAGAATTAGTGTTTTTCGATTTCAGTTCGGATGCCTAAGCAGAGCGAAGGAACTATACACTACGGCTATTTAAAGAGCATCTTCTTGAAGTGTCGCGCGACTTCTCTCTGTCCGGGCTTCTACCCTCTTCGTCAGGAACCAAGAAAGGGGTGAGGTAACAGTCACAGTCGCCTGCCGGGCAACGTCTCACGGCCCCTCGTAGAGAGCGCCGCACTCCACATACGCCGATATGAATAGCGTAAAATGCACTCCACCACACGACGGAAAAAATTGAGACGCAAAACGTACAGAAAAAAACACGAGTACGTCACTTCCCTTCTCACCGCAACTACTGCAGGTATACTGGGCGCACGCGCACTGCGCACACGCATCACCTCGATGCACTACTATGCTACAGCGATCGAAAATAAACAGTCACGGTAAAACAAACTATAGGTGATCCTTCGAATATCAAACGTTATTTCCTTTACGCGTATCCACGCGCAGAAAACGTTTGGCTTGCCAGGAAACGCGAAGTTTGTTACGCGAGACAGCACTCCACGGTCTCTGGCGTATATGTAGTGCCTCCTATAGTCCGCGATAAGCCGAGGCGCCGGCGCGCGCACATCATTTGTGATACATCGATACATCGCGCGATACATCCCACGATACATCGTGCGATATATCGCATGCGCCGCACTGCACCCCCTCGGGGCCCGTTAGAGAGTACGCAACATTTCACCAGGCCGGAGGAGGAGGAGCGCGGGAAGAAAAGCAGCGATTAATATCGATTTCCGTGAGAAACGCTCCCCCCTCCTCCTTTTTCCTACCCCCAATCATCCTCTCCCCGTTTCGTTATCTTCCTCACTCCTCGTCTCGAAGTATGGTGTAAATGCGGCTGCAAAAACAAAAGCAAAAAAAATAAGGGGGGGGGGGACAAAATTTCTTCAGAAAGAATTTCTATTTTTGTCCTATTTGAATCATACTCGCATCGTACGACTGATCCAAATTTATGACTAAAAAAAGCAAAAGCTACTAACTATTGTTAAGGGTGCTACATAAAATATGCATTTCAATTTTCGTGTCGGCCCACCACCATCCTCGAGGGCGGGAGGTTCTCAAAAAAGTTCCGAAACTTTATCTGACAAAAAAGAAACTCTGCCAACAACAACAACAACAACAACAACAACAACGAGAAGGACTCAATCACGCGAGTTTGCGCCGCTCGTTACCCATTGATTACACACCCATCACTTACCGCAAAACTGTAACAAACTGCGGGCGGCCGGGCATTGCCGTTGTTGTTTATGTTGTTGTTGTTGCCAGGGCAACACAAGAGTCCCCCTCCGCGCACGCACACGTGCCTCCGCAGTAGTAGTAACAAAAAATAGAGGGTAAAAAAAAAAAAGAGGCGTCAAATTCGTCCGACAATATAATAATGTAATCCTGCAATTCAAATGATAACACACGGCGGCCGCAATTAGGGCGGCGGCGCCTCACCTCCGAATTCGACCAGAGCAACGGTAACGTTCATTAGCACGCTCCTAGCGGCGCAGCTCCGGCCGGACCATGTCCGCGTGTCCGCCCGTCTGGCGAGCCGGCCGGACCACGTCCGCACGTCTGCCGCTATGGCGCTCTGTCCTTACGTCTGTAAAATCCAACCAGCCGGCTCCAAAAAAAAATATTACCAAAAAATGAGAGAGTAAAAGTAATTTAATTAACAGAAAAAATACCAACTTTTTCCTATTTTCAAGAAGGTTTACCTCGACCAAAAAAGCAGCTGTGGTAGCCTACATTTGTAAATAGATTGAGTTTCTGAGCCACTGTGAGAATCAGAATGACAGAAATTAAAGTTTAAAGATAACCTAAGAGGTGTCCTTGTTACATCATGAAAGCTTAATCAGGTTAACGCGCAGAATTTCTCGGGAAAATGTGGGCAGTAAAAAAAATGGTTGATTGTTTGATTCAGTTCATTGACACGTTCCTTGCGCCCTGCGGCTCAATTTTGGTCCCTAGACCTACGCAGTTGCTCAGAAACTAAGTTTATTGACCAATATGCACCAAAAATGCTTTTAGGGCGATAAAACCCTTCCAAGATTTGAACCCAATGTTTACCACCTTCGTCAACTACCGGTAGAATCCAAGGCGGGGTCGAATCCAGACCAATAAAGCACGCTGCCTCAACTACCAAACAAGCTCCCCGCCACGGTTTCCACGCGCGCGGGTAAAGCGCGACCGCTGACTGCTAGGTTCACGAAGCGGCCCTGACGTTAAAAACATGTCATGGCACTACGGCACCGTAAGAACAGGTTGTGCAATGAGGACCAGGAGGCATAAGCGTCGCCTCGATCCGTAACAGTAGTATACAAAGTTGTTTTACTGGGAACACCAACCAGGCCGAGAACTTTTACTGTTGCAAAAATTTTAGTATCTCTGTACAGATGAATGCAGATAGCAATGTAAGCGAGTCTCGAGTTTAGCAGCTATCCAGCCCCATTATAAATTACACAGAAAACTTTCGGTTGGCTGTAGTAGTAATCAACTACGAAGTATATGAGATTGCCCAAAAGTCCAACATAATGAATGAGAAAGGCCCTCTAAAGAACCAAATCACGTTGGCCTGAAGAATATCGACACATCCTGAGAATAAGCTCAGCGCCACGGTGACGGACTCAGCGCCACCCACAGTCCTTGCTTCCTCCTCCTCCTGCCTCCTCCTCCTCCCCCCTCCCGTCCTTTTCCTCAGACGCGCCACAACAAAGACGGCACATTCAATTGTATCGCATCTGCATTAGCCAACATATTTATTAACTCAGCAACGCCCTGGGCTGGCTGGCAAGCGCGGTACGTGGGAAAATCTCGCCTGCCATCCATAGTGCAGGAGAGGGCGGGAGGAGGGCGCGAGAGGACAAGGCGGAGGCGCGGCGGGTCGAGGGGCAGAAAGGAAAATCATGCAAGACAATACCAGGAAAAACGCTATTTTCTCGAAAGAAAAAAAAATACAATGGATGAGCTGTAGTTAATTTACATTAAAAAACAAGATTTGCTGTTTGGAGGAGATCTTCGACTGACAGATCCTAGATACTTCAGGAAAAGTAGAAAAGTTTCAGGAACTCATACAATGATCAGAAACAGGATCAGGCCAGACCCCCACTATTTGAGGTGTTTTTCAAATTTTCAAAGAACGGTGCGCCTGATGAAATGAACTGAGACAGCTTCCCCAATTTAGGAGGAGATTTTCTGGACACCATACTGTTTTTTTGTTTTGCTTTGTTTCAAAGACGTATTGAGCCTTAGCAGTGCAAGACAAAAGTTAGCATGCAAACTTCATGCCAATTTTTGACTTGCAATTAATACTTTTTCAATGTTAAGAGCTACACCCCTTTCTCAGTGAGCGCATGATTTCTTGTAAAGACGTAAAGGACGAAGAGGGCAAAACCCAAGTGGCTGACAAAACCAGGCTGTCCCTGTTATCTAAGGGTGGAAAAAATGGGCATCGTAGCTCAACGATAAGATTCGACATCGACCGGCCAGTTTCTCCTCACACGTCGGCTGCAGTCCCTTGCAGTGCGCCGCCCTTCACTCCAATCAATTAAGTAAATCTGGAACAAATCGCCGGCGCACGGCAGGGGGCGCCGCGCGCCTCCATAAAGTACAAAAAGATACATCGTAAAGCTAAAGCAGAAAAATTAACGCAATACATTTGGCACGACGACGGTGGTGGAGTTACGCGCGCGGCGTCTGCAACGCTCAAAGGGCATAAGACACGCGCGTTATGTTCTTTTCATGCTACTTTTATTTTCGTTTTAATTGGGGTGAAGCGATGGTTATGCGCCGCGCGCTGGTCAATATAAACGCAAATCAAAAGCGGCGAGCAGTATAACACGCGGCTCGGAGTGAAAATTAATCGGCGTCGTTCCGTAGGAAGCAACGATGCATCGTGTACAAAAATTGTTTTTTTAAAAAAACTAAGTGAAGTGATAAAGGTTACAGTTAGAAAAATATTTGATAATAAGTAATTTAGCTCAGAACGATGTTTTCGGCAATTTGCGAAAATTAGTTTTCAATTGTTTCGAATATAAACATTTTACAAGCTGTAAAATTGACTCGCAAAATTCGCAGTATTTCAGACACAAACTTTTCAAAAAAATATGTCATTGTGTTTCGATTGTAAAAAAATTTACAAGCTGTAAAATTGACTCGCAAAAAAAAAATTCGCAGTATTTTCAGATACAAACTTTTCAAAAAATATATATCCTTGGAAGCTTTAGCAGGGGCGGCGGCGCGCGCGCGGAGCGCTTCGGTCACGTATTACGTGGGGGCGGGGAAGGCCACGGGACCGCGTCCGAGCCGGCGAGCCATACGCCGGGCCGGGCCGGGGGAAGTCCCTCCCCCGGCCCGGTCGCGGCCCCCTCTCCCCCTCCCGTCGACCAGCCCAGCCCGGCCAGCCATTACAGGAGCAGCGCCGCGCTATTCTTTCCAATATAAATACGACACATCCAGCAATCAGAAGGGCTCCCTTGGCGGGGCAGAGAGCCGGGGC